TTGTGGTGCCTGAGTTCCCCTAATGTCTTACCACCTATTTGGTTAGTGCCCTTTGTGTGGCACTGGCTATTAAGAGCTTGATTTTGCTTGACAGCAAGGTTTATGTTCTTGTCCACACACACATCTGTGTTACATGCACTGATAGCCCTATAATTTTTAGATTGCCGGGGACAGGAATGTTCTGTATTAGTTAGCTCACATGCCTGATCCTCTGTGCAGTGAACATTTACACAGATGTTGGGCTCCAGGGTTTAATGACCGTGGTTTAGATAGCAGTTTTCCTGATGTTTTGCCAGAAATCTTGGATGGCATTTTCTGAGGCAAAGGTATGTAGACCACAGGCAAATGCAGAGACTGACCAAGCAGAGACTGACCAAGCCCATTTATACAGACTACCTCCTACACATAATAATTAAATATAGGGGCTAAAGTTACTGCTGGAAGATCCAGCATAAATTTAGTCCTGCTTCTTCTACAATGCCCTGTTTAGAATATCTGAAGAATCATGGGTAGTTCATGAATACCATTAACTACTTTTTACAGTTGGAAACAGAAATTTGTTTTTGGGAAGGCTTGTTGGGAAAATGCTTCCCAAATTTCACATTTCCCAGCAGTAGTAATTATTTTCACTTAGAATGAGAATGATAGGAGTACTACATAGCATAGTAAGATGTGATTTTGGGAAACAGCACTTTAAGGAATTAATTATTACTTCTCCCCTATGTGTGCTAGAACAGAAAGAAAAGGCACTATTTTGGAGCAGTGCAAAATACTTGTAGCTTCAAACACAGTCTTTGAAAAAAATTGTCACCGGATGCTAGATGAATATGCTACAAATTAAAGATTAGCTAAATATTGGATTTGTCTTCCTATACTTCGCAATAGACCTTGGAACTGTTTAGTAAAATAAGCATTAAAAGGACAAGTAGCAATAAAAAAAATCTGTATTGTCCTCCCATGCATGACCACTTAGATGTGAAGCTGCAGTATTTGCTTGTTTCACCATATCTCTTAGACTTAGAGAATAAGGCACAATATTTCATAATGCCAAGGCTGTATTGCTGACATGATGAGACAAAGCATGCACTATGTCCTTTATTAATAATGCATGTTTTCTGTAGTGTTGCAAAGTTGAGATAAATTATTTCTGCTTTCTTTCGCAATGGAAACAGTTTAATTCCAGGATTCAAGCAAATTCTGCAGTTTGTGCCCAGTTTTGATGGCGAGAGTATTTTGTGGTTTATTTCACTGACAAGTTGCCTCATAGAATTCTTGTGAAATTTCAATAACCGTCTTGCCAACAAACTGGCTGAATTCACCCACTGCACTAAAATCGCAAGTTTGTAATTAATATGGTTTAAAATAGATGGAGAAACATACCATTATATGCCCTGCTATCCTTTCCCTCAAACTGGAAGTGTTCAGGATAGAGATGAAGGCAAACAAACTCGCACTACAAGGAATAATTGTAATATAAAATAATAAAAGCAGGACAATAAATAAATTCACCCTCTCCTTTTTCATTTTGTGTCCAGCAGAGGCATTTTAGCAATTCCAGCGATGAAAGGTGCAATCAAGACAAGATACTACTCTGCGGCATAGTGCTTGGTTTAAGAACAAATGCTGCAATAAATCTTGACAATAAAACTTTTTTTAAATATAAATTTAATCTCTTCCCACTCCCTAGCATCTGCTATTCTATTTCTCAGCGAAAGATCACCTCCTAGGTGAAATCTTAGCACATTACCGGAATGACATAGGAGACCCGCATGTGTGTTCGGAGTGCAGTCATGCCACCGGGCACCACCGCCAAGCAACAGTGTTCTCCATATTTGTGTGCCACGTAGCAGCTCAGAATCACCGGGCAGCAAATTCCAACACAACCTGCCAAGCAACATAAACATGCACATGGAAGCAAAGATCAATAGAAGTAGGTAGAAAATGCTGTCCTCCATTGTCCAGACTTGTAATCCTTGCCACTAAGTCCTCACTTAGCCAATCTTTCTTGGATAAGAGAGTGACTGGTTCACTGTGTTCTGTAATAAACTATGATCACCAGTGACCCTGGCAGCTGAAAAGCAGACTTAAGAAATGGAGGTGGTCATATGCTGTTCCTTTTTGCTCCCTCAGAGAAAAAGAAATCACTGATAAGGTATGATAAGTAATTGGATGGAATTTGAAGTCGGTCTAATGAATTGAAATGAATGAAGATTTAACACTGTTTTTTTTTTAACTAAGTTAGTTAGTATTCAAAAAAGAAATAAATGAGATTGGTGATAAAAAGAGAGATGAGAGAGATTAAGAGCTTGAACATATCTGGAAGAGATACTTGAAGTGATAATCTGTTGAAGTAAAACAATATTTGATTATGGTAATTGTAAACTGATAAAGTTTTAAAACAGGTTTAGTCGTATAGAAATTTAAGCTAGAAATGGAACATATTAAATCCATTATGTTATTTGAGGGAAATAGAGAAATGACAATGAATGTATTAAATTGAGCTGTTTAAGTATGTTTTTTACTTTGAAATGTTTGTTTACCCAAACACCACGAGGTGTCTTAAGCACTTTTTGTTAAAATTAAAAAACCAATAAAATATTTTTTAAAAAAAGAAAAAAAAAGAAAAAGAAATCACAACACAATAAAAACTGTACTGGATTAGATGATGGTAAACTTGAGGGGGGCAGTTTTTGCACCCCTTTCACATATATCCTCGTGGTTCTGGAGAGTAAAAGCCCTATTTTGGCAGGGCTGCCCTAGAAGTGAGGTCTCCAAACTTGGCAACTTTAAGACTTGTGGATTTGTGAACATTCTGGAGAGAGAGAAGTTTCCCTGTGGATGGGCTCCAGCACGAACCCAAAAGCTTGGAAGAATAAAACTTTGGTCCTGGTGACCAACTCAGATTGGATCCTGTAACATTATCCTCATGCACATATATTTGCCTTCGTTCCCAATATACTTTTAAGACAAGGTGGGTAACTTTCAACATAATAAAGTTAGCAGTTAATCCCCTTCAAACATCTTTGAGAATGTCAGCTGTCCAAAGCAAGAAAGAGAATTGAGCTGGTGTTTTGATATTTAAAATTAAAATATTGTTTAAAGTTTGCTACTAGTTAATTTTTTTTGCCAATGTCTAACAAAGTCCTGACCTCAAAAGCCAGATTCCTACATAATTTTTTCTATTTCCAAGAAACCTTAAAGAGAATCCTATATCTGCAGTTGTTGACATAACAACAGCATGACCTCAGTTGTGAATGAAGGCAAAATGAATGAAGTGAGAAAGGCCCACTTCTTTGAAAGCAAACCCCACTCCTTAACTAGCATTGATGATGTTATCTAGTTTGGGTAATGAAACATCTGCATAAAAACAACCAAGCTCAGAGAGCACCAAGGACCCCTCACATCCTCTTCTCCACTGACAATTCTCCAATTAGAAAGGTTTTGCTTCTTTAACCATCTTGGTCATAATGGCTGAGCAGGATGGGATTTAGTATCAACCTATGTTGAAAGCACCAGGTTGGGAAGTCCACTTACTGGAAATAACCCAGAAATCCAGTCTTATTTCAGGAAAAAACTAGTTCACAAGGTCTTATTCCTTCCTTCTCAGCTGGCTACTCCCCACAGATATTAGAACCAGAGATTTACTTACACATGGGACAGTCCAAACAGCACTCATATCTCCCGCTGGCCCAACTGCCTTCTGAGGACTGGGTTACTGGGGAGACAGTTGGCTGGCAAATCACTGACTGGGACATTGGCAAAGGCTGGGCTCCTGGGAAACACAAAACTGCTTCTGAACATACAGTACATTGGGTGTCTATTGCAACTGGGCAAGCAGGATTGTAAAAGCTCTTCTATGTGGTATCCTGCAGGCTGGGTGAAATGCCAGAGGAAGCAGCAGAGGAATAATGCAAGGCCTTGTGAAACAAGTAGCTTTCTAAGCAGCAGACAGAGCAACTGAAAAAATTGTCCTAGAGCAGCTTTTGTGTAGTATTTACAGTCAGAATTTTAGATCACCAGCAGTGCTTCAGCTTGCAGGGAAATGAAGGGCTCGAGTGTTAAGAATGTCCTCCATCCCACTTGTTTAATTAGCAAAGAAAGATTCCTGGTTCATTTCACTCAACTGTCGCCGGGTTTATGACCCTAGTGATGGAAAAAGACTACATATTTTGAATTTAGTTTTCTTCAGGGTTATAGTGACTGCTGGAACCTAGTGGAGAGGTATCTCCTAAACTCCTTTTGAGGTGCTCTCTTCTTGTCAGTTTGTTTTTTATAAGCTTCCCTCACTTCATCTAGAGCTTTGCAGACCATGGGCTAAGTATTCTGCAGGCTTTGATGCACTCAGCTAAGGATACATGCAGGGGTCTGTGCTTGGGCAGTTCTGGCATAGGGACAAAGTGTCCAGGCCTGTGGTCACCCAGAAAGGGTGAAACCTGTGCTACTGTGCACTGAATTATTGTAGGCAACTTCAGCAAAGAGCAGGAGTTGGGCCCAATAGTCTTGCTGGTAATTAATGTAACAATGGAGGTACTGCTGCAACACGCCATTAGTTCTCTCTCAGCCTCCATTGGTCTGAAAGAGGAGCTTAGCCCCCGGGCTGTACCCAACACCTTTAGGAACTCCTGCCAAAAACTAAAAGTAAATTGGATGCCACGGTCTGAGATAATGCGCTCAGGTGCTCCATCTTTGCCGCAGCAGAAACATGCAATTAAACTCCATTGGGGTTTGGAGTTTTTTGAGGGAGATGAGCCCCCTCTACCCCCTTTTTGTGCTCCTCACCTTTCGGGATTGGGGTATCTGTGGCTGTTTCTCCGTGTGTTCATGGAATTCAGCTAGGTCGATTTCCACCTCACTGGCCAGCAGGTAGCATGCCTGGAGATTTCGTGGTACCCCTCGGGAAAGGCAAGTGTGGTATAACTCTTCGTTCAAACCCTCTCAAAAGTAGATTATCAGCAGGCATTGGGGCCACTCTCCCAACCAGCTGGCTAGTCTGCAGAACTCCTGGATATACTCTGCCACTGACCACTTCTCCAGCACTGGAGATGGAGGATCCACAGAATGGGTGGAGACTGTATTCCTGCCCAATCAGATCAAGTCAGCCAAAGTTGTCACGCCCCGTCCTGGTTCCATTTCCCCGTCTTGACTTGATCTTGCCCATGGACAGGACGTAAAACTCTGGCTCCTAGGTACAGTCTAAACCTTTCTGTGAATTTTCCATCTCCTANAAACACATATTAACACTGTTTAAAGAATTGAGAATGCTCATCTACAGTACAGGTAGTTATGACCACTTATCAGTGTCTGTTCAAAGTTATGATGGCACTGAATGGGTGCTGAATATTTATTATTTGTACTTGAAGTTCTAGTCATTGCAGAATCCCTCCAGTCAAAGGATTATGATTCAGGCGCTTGGCTTGCATTTATAACAGTTCCAGTATCTCACAATCAATGGATCTTATACTCTGTAACATCCCCCTGCTTGCCTGCCTGCACTCTGAGTTGTGCCTTCTCACACTCCATAGCACCCACTCTGCCCCTGCTCCTTCAGTAGCCCCTGATGGCTCTCATCTGTACTCTGTAGCACCCATCAGTAGCCCCTGCTTCTGGCCCATGCTCCATAGTACCTATGGAGTACCTATGGCACACAACACACAATCCTGGGACTGCCAGGATTGTCACTGCTAAGCAGTCACGCGACATTGTATTTTACAACCGCATTGCTTAGCAACAAGAGTTCCGGTTCCAATTGTCTTAACCCAACGACTACCTGTATTAACGTTTTATAAATTGGCTGCATTGAGCCTTTTGCTCAGAACTGAGTTAATGATATGCAGACTATAGAAGATGGTACAGCTCCACATCAAAGGTATTTTGTGTTAGGCAATGACTCCTTATCCTTCTTAAAGAGAAGTGATTTTTTTCCACAATAACTGAAGTGTCATAAATCTTGATGGCATATGGAAAATTCTTACATTGATTTAGGTGGATATTGTTTAGATCAGTGCTTTTCCAAATCTGGGTAAATTGCCAAAATTGGGTAAAAGTGGTTTTTCTTTGGTTAATAGCACACAAACTCCTTACCCAGTCATGACAGGGACATTGAAACAAAGACTCTTTGATAAGTGGTAAAAAGGACTTTCTGATAAACAATATTGAATAATGAAGGAAAAGGTTTGGAAAGCCTTAGTTTTTAGATGATGTTAATCACTGCCTGAATAATTTGACAGTCTTGGTTTTTCATTTTCTAATGTAGTTATCCTGCTTTTCTTTTTTTAAACAAAACATTTTATTTTTCTTAATTTAATGCCATTTAATTGATCTGATTTTTCCAGGCTGAATACATTTAAATAGATGAAATGGTATTTATTGCAAATATTAAAGTGTTAAACCATGCTGAACACTTGTTCAACCATATTGTTGAGGAATCATCATGTGCTGAATGTGGATAGAAAGTCTGATATTCATATTCAAATATTATTCCATGCTACTAAGAACAGTTTTTTAGACCTTTTAAAAATCACCATGGAACTGTGTAGTCCACCATAGGTTAACTGTTGAAAGCTACTCTGTTCATGAAATGAAATGACATTAAAGGAGTGAAATGTAAGGTCTGTAGAAGCTTTATTGATAGTACAGTATACAGTTTCTTCCTAGCTATCCTGGCAGTTTTTCTTCCAGGTTGGATGAAAAATGTATGGCTGTCCCATGGGATATTCAAAGCAATCAAACCAGCTTTGCATTTCACATATCAAAACCCTTTTACCTGATGGAAATCCTGGAATTCTGTTCTGTAGTGCAGGTTTGCCATGCTCAGCTATGTCTTTGAAACTTGTAGGGTGATGGCTACTATGTTTTTTAAAAAGTCACTTTAGATTTTTCCATGCAGCCATTTGCACTTTACGCACACTTATTTATCCACAGTGACTAATTACAGTTCTAGAATTAAGTGAGTATGATATAAATATACACATTTTCCCATGATTTGCATTTGCCAGAAAGTGTTTTGTATTTTCAGAGTCACAGGCTTACAGCCTAGCAAGTATTAGTTTACTAATCTGGATCTTACACAGTTGTCTTGACTTGCACTTGCTGATATTACTGCACTGAAAAACATCTGTGATATGTGGAGGTGTGAGAAAAAAATGGGATTGTCCTCCTTTGCCTTTCTGTTTACGTGCTGTACAGTGATTTGCAAAAACTCACGTGTAAAATGTTTTAAGGACAATATAATATTCTTTAATTAACTGGCAAAGCCTAGATAGAACTCTGGTTGGGAAATACAGTTAATAGTGGCCTAGTTGATGGTGGTCTGCTTCTCCAAAACTTGAAGGCTAAAGTCAGATCATTTCAGTTTCATTCTAAATCATAAATACAGCATAGAAAAAAGCTAAATTATTTTAATAAGCGTTACTAGCAATATGCTGAATGTAAAATGAGAAAGTAGTCATAATTTGTCACTAGGCCATTAAAAAGTGGTTCTGTCATCAGTATTTTTGGCTCTGCATTTGTCAAGAAATAACTGATCTAAAGGAAAGTTGCTTTTACACACAGCTAGAAAACGCTGTGGCATTTAAGTTCGCTTCAGTTATTATTTAACTATTATGAGTGGGATGGGAATTTATCGCAATGCGTTTTCAAGCACATGACTTCCAATATAAAGATAAAGACTTCTTTGAATTAAACTGGATTCTTGTCTACTGTATGACACACATTTTCTCAGTAGCAAAACAGAAATAGTTTGTCCTTGCCACCTTCTGGTATCTTTTTGTTGTTTCTAACTACAGGTAGTACTTCACTTACAACCATTTGTTTTTGACCATTTGAAGTTACAGCGATACTGAAAAAAAGAGACTTATGGCCGGTTTTTCACACTTACAACCGTTGCATCATCCCCATGGTTACATGATCAAAATTTGTGTGGTTGGCAATTGGCATGTATTTATGACAGTTGCACTATCCCGCAGTCATGCGATCACCATTTGTAAGGTTGCCACCTGGCTTTGTACAAGCAAAGTCAATGGGGGGAGCCAAATTCACTTAATGACCGCACGATTCACTTAGCAGCTGCAATGATTCACTTAACCTTATAAAAAAGGTTATAAAATGAGGCACAATTCATTTAACAACTGCTTTGCTGAGCAGTAGAAATTCTGGGCCCAATTATGGTCATATGTTGAGGACTACCTACACCTTCTAATGCTCAGAATCCTGGTGCCACTTGCTTAACAAATAATAAAAAAAAATATTTATCTTTTGTTTTATATTTATCCCATCTTCATTATTTTCATAAATAACTCAAAATTGCAAAGATACCTAACACTCTTTCCTCTTCCTATTTGGCCCCCAACAACACCTGTGTGAGGTGGGGTGGGTCTAGGAGAGAGTGACTGGCCCAAAGTTACCCAGCTGGCTTTCATGCATAAGGTGCGACTAGAGTTCACAATCTCCCACTTTCTAGTAGTTTGGTGCCTTAACCACTAGACCACACTGGCTCTTCCATTAATATTTTCAGGGTCTACATTTGAAGAAAAAAAAGACCTTTGCATCATTCAGCAGTATTATAACATTTTGGAAAAATACACCATACTTCTTCATTATTTATATTTTTCTCCAGCACTGGAGATGGAGGATCCACAGAATGGGTGGAGACTGTATTCCTGCCCAATCAGATCAAGTCAGCCAAAGTTGTCACGCCCCGTCCTGGTTCCATTTCCCAGTCTTGACTTGATCTTGCCCATGGACAGGACGTAAAACT